GCAAAAATCGCAAAAATTCCTGAAAATTGCAAAATCGCAAAAATTCCTGAAAATTGCAAAAATCGCAAAAATGCCTGAAAATTGCAAAAATCGCAAAAATTCATGAAAATTGCAAAAATCGCAAAAATTCCTGAAAATTGCAAAAATCGCAAAAATGCCTGAAAATTGCAAAAATCGCAAAAATTCCTGAAAATTGCAAAAATCGCAAAAATTCCTGAAAATTGCAAAAATCGCAAAAATTCATGAAAATTGCAAAAATCGCAAAAATTCCTGAAAATTGCAAAAATCGCAAAAATTCCTGAAAATTGCAAAAATCGCAAAAATTCATGAAAATTGCAAAAATCGCAAAAATTCCTGAAAATTGCAAAAATCGCAAAAATGCCTGAAAATTGTAAAAATCGCAAAAATTCCTGAAAATTGCAAAAATCGCAAAAATTCCTGAAAATTGCAAAAATCGCAAAAATGCCTGAAAATTGTAAAAATCGCAAAAATTCCTGAAAATTGCGAAAATCGCAAAAATTCCTGAAAATTGCAAAAATTGCAAGAATTCCTGGAAATTGCAAAAATCGCAAAAATTCCTGAAAATTGCAAAAATCGCAAAAATTCATGAAAAATTGCAAAAATCGCAAAAATTCCTGAAAATTGCAAAAATCGCAAAATTCATGAAAATTGCAAAATCGCAAAAATTCCTGAAAATTGCAAAAATCGCAAAATGCCTGAGAATTGCAAAAATCGCAAAAATGCTTGAAAATTGCAAAAATCGCAAAAATGCCTGAAAATTGCAGAAATCAGAAAAATGCCTGAAAATTGCAGAAAATCGCAAAACTGCCTGAAAATTGCAAAAATCGCTAATGCCTGAAAATTGCAAAAATTCCTGAAAATTGAAAAAAATTCCTGAAAAATTCCTGAAAATTGCGAAAATTCATGAAAATTGCAAAGAATCGCAAAATGCCTGAAAATTGCAAAAATCGCAAAAATTCCTGAAAATTGCAAAAATCGCAAAAATTCATGAAAATTGCAAAAATCGCAAAAATTCATGAAAATTGCAAAAATCGCAAAAATTCCTGAAAATTGCAAAAATCGCAAAAATGCCTGAAAATTGTAAAAATCGCAAAAATTCCTGAAAATTGCAAAAATCGCAAAAATTCCTGAAAATTGCAAAAATCGCAAAAATGCCTGAAAATTGTAAAAATCGCAAAAATTCCTGAAAATTGTAAAAATCGCAAAAATTCCTGAAAATTGCAAAAATCGCAAAAATTCCTGGAAATTGCAAAAATCGCAAAAAATTCCTGAAAATTGCAAAATCGCAAAAATTCATGAAAATTGCAAAGAATCGCAAAAATTCCTGAAAATTGCAAAAATCGCAAAAATTCATGAAAATTGCAAAAATCGCAAAAAATTCCTGAAAATTGCAAAAATCGCAAAAATGCCTGAGAATTGCAAAAATCGCAAAAATGCTTGAAAATTGCAAAAATCGCAAAAATGCCTGAAAATTGCAGAAACCAGAAAAATGCCTGAAAATTGCAGAAATCGCAAAACTGCCTGAAAATTGCAAAAATCGCTAATGCCTGAAAATTGCAAAAATTCCTGAAATTTGAAAAAATTCCTGAAAAATTCCTGAAAATTGCGAAAATTCCTGAAAATTGCAAAAATCGCAAAAATGCCTGAAAATTGCAAAAATCGCAAAATGTCTAAAAATTGCAAAAATCGCAAAAAATGCCTGAAAATTGCAAAAAATTGCAAAAATTGCAAAAATCGCAAAATGCCTGAAAATTGCAAAAATTTTTGAAAATTACAAAAATCGCAAAAATGCCTGAGAATTGCAGAAATCGCAAAAATACCTGAAAATTGCAAAAATTCCTGAAAATTGAAAAAATCGCAAAATGCCTGAAAATTTGCAAAATCGCAAAAATGCGTGAAAATGGTTGAAATCGCAAAAATGCTTGAAAATTGCAAAAATCGCAAAAATGCCTGAAAATTGCAAAAATCGCAAAAATGCCTGAAAATTGCAGAAATCGCAAAAATGCCTGAAAATTGCAAAAATTCCTGGAAAATTGAAAAAATCGCAAAAATGCCTAAAATTGCAAAAATTCCTGAAAATTGAAAAAATCGCAAAAATGCCTGAAAATTGCAAAAATCGCAAAAATGAATGAAAATTGAAAAAATCGCAAAAATGCCTGAAAATTGCAAAAGTCGCAAAAATGCCTGAAAATGCAGAAATAGCAAAAATTCCTGAAAATTAGAAAAATTTCTGAAAATTGCAAAAATTCCTGAAAATTCCTGAAAATTGCAAAAATCGCAAATATTCATGAACATTGTAAAAATTGCAAAAATCGCAAGAATTCCTGAAAATTGCAAAAATTGCAAAAATTCTTGAAAATTTGCGAAAATTGCAAAAATCGCAGAAATCCCTGAGAATTGCAAAAATGCTTGAAAATTGCAAAAATCGCAAATGCCTTAAAATTGCAAAAATCGCAAAAATGCCTGAAAATTGCAAAAATTCCTGAAAATTGAAAAAACCGAAAAAAGAATACCTGATGAAGTTTTACGCGATTAACATTTCGATTATTAAAGAAAAATATCTCAACATTAACGATTTCATATCATTTCTAGTACATACAACCTCACCAACTCATAGACAGTCTGTTTGATGAGAATTATTATAAAACATTTTGTGTTCATAGGTCCTTTCGCTGTAATATCGAACCGGACATGCAAGAGAATATACAGGATGGGCGAGAAAAGATACACCTTCAATCTCTTAGAGGACGGCCGGTTTAGGTACTGGCAAAACTACACAGAGTCTTACGTCTACGAAGACGTATCTTCTCAGAGTTCTTACTGCATCGAACACTCGGAAAAAGCAGGGGCGCACGGATTTTTTTTCTTCAAGTGCTTCCCCGAGAAAGGGGTCAAGGAAAAGTTCATTTTTTCCAGGTAAGGCAACCAATCGATTCGGGCTATTTTGATGTCAAGTTTGGTTAGTTTTCCAATCCAACACGGAAAAAAGGAATTGTTGAATCAAGCAAAATTTAATTGAATGAAGCAAATAAAAGTGTCATTTATGCAAGACAAAATATGATCGTGAAATGAGTTAATCTATATCTTGTTTCAGAGCGAATTTGAAGTTTGAATTAAGTAAAAATGTCTTGCATGGACTCTGGATCTTATTCAATCAAGCACATTCATGAATTGCTCATGAAGGGATATTGAATTGGTTCAAACAATCATTTTGTACCTTGACATGTACCTTTTGTACCTGACTTTCACCCGACCTCGCTATCTTGTCCCCTTCAACAGTTAAAGGAGAGGGAAGACTTTTTACGCCCTCACTGTATCTTTATCAGCTAATGCTTTGGGATTTTAATCAACATGTATAATAATCATAATAATTGATATATTTTACAGGTGGCCAAAGATAGTATCTTGCATTTTCTTGGCATTGACCATATTGATATACGTGCTACTGAATGAAACCAGGACAATTTTTGGAAAGATTCTGATGAACTACTGCGTTGGGACAATGTTCATGTTTTCGCTGTTGACCTACTCCCAGTACCACATAAAGACATCAAATAGTTTATGTAAATTGGCAGGTGAGCGATAAACTAAAATTCATGGAAAGTAATGACTCGAAAATCCTGAACATTCAGAAAATAGACTTGCAGATGAATGCAGAGATGGGAGTATGATGGATTGAATGAAAGACAATTCCAAATTTCGCAAATTCTGTATAGCATTCTGAAGAAAACTCACACCATGAGAAACATGCTCGATTTCTGAAATCGATAAGTACACTGAATTATTATTTTTTCCTCAAGAATAATATTTGTTTCACAGACCGGAATCAACGAAACGACATAGATAAAGCGTTAGAAAACATTGTGCAATTGTAATTTTTATTTACCTAACAAGTGCGGAAAGTAGTACTTTTCCGCAAGAGTTAGACATTATCTACGAGTGTTTCTGTCCATATTATTCATGAATAAAAATTTTTTAATTAACAAGATTTGATACTAATGTATGCTACAAATTTACACATAAGACAGAATAGTTACATAGATCATTAGTCCTGAATATCCTCATTTTCACAAATACAAACATTTTGCGGAAAAGTAATTTTTCAGCACTATAGTGCGGTAAAGTAGCTTTTCTGCACGATTTCATCGATTTATCGTACGGAAAAGTAAAAATTGTGCGAAAAGTAAAATCGTACGGAGAACGGAGAAGTACCACTTTCAGAACGAAAAATCATAGGAAAAAAGATTCTTCAAGTTTCACAATAAAAGGTCCGTGTCACTGAACTGTTCAACTGTTGACTATAACACATTGTATCTCTTTGGTAGAAGTCCATTGTTTCTCAAAGTGGAGAGAGAAGTAGTAACTACTAAATAATACTCGAAATCATGTCCACGATGCCTAATCAAAATTGCTACATTACATTCATTACCACGACAATTAATACAGCAAATTTGATCAGGCTGAGGATGGACATATAAATGTCCGAAACATGTACCAATTAATTCGATCAGTTGATCATATTAAAAAAAACAACAACAAAAAATGTCGTGGAGATGATTTCGTTACATTGTATCTCGTTCTCTGTGATCTGTTCTTGGATATAATTATTTCGTCTCATTTCATATTGGTATTAAGGATTTCATTTAAGCGTCACCCTGTAGAAATTTTTCCCAATTTCAGGATATGGTTTGATATTTTTCTCTACTGCTTCTTTCGCCTGGCTGAACGTTATGTGTTGCGACATATGGTTCACATTCGGGTGAGTTTCAATATAAATAGGGGTGTTATTTTTGTTTTCTATGTCTATGGTACGATATGCATGCTGTTTTTGGCCATGTTATCAAGCTATTTTTGCAAAACGCTGGCATTTTTATCAGTAACACATTCTCGCATCACTGATCAAACAAAAATACGCGATCCATCCTCGAATAGAAAATGTGTAATACAGTATTTTTGTAATTTTTTATGTAAACTTGAACTCTGGGAGTGATCATATTTTGAAGATATTTATCTATCGACTAGTGTTAATTCTGGTATACTAGTTTGGTAGGCCTTGAGGAATGGATATGAACAAAGGAACATGAATAATATGAATTATTTTATTATTTACATTACGGGTGTCCTGATTACCATAACTTTACCATACCTTTAATGTTCCTCGTCACTGTTCAGTCATGTTTCAGAAATCCTTCACCTATCAGGCTGTAAAATTTTACAATTCACTCCTCATCAATCACCTTCATTTGTCTGAATATAATATCAAGAAATTGCTGAAAGCAAAATTTTGTGAATCCCCAATATAAATTAAGACTTGAAACTCTATTACCTAGTTATACTTTGACAAATTACTTTTGTTTATTTGACTTACGATGATTATGTTCTTCATTACCTCATGAATGTCTTCATTAGCTAAATTTTCTGATGTCGATTGTACAATTTAGGTTAAGTGTGAGAGAAGCAATAGCTAAACTTCGCCTACTTTGTATCAAAGAAAAAAAAAATGGGGATTTATTATTATTATTATTTTTATTATTATTATATACTTCGAGCGAAAATGATTCTCCTCTTTCATTCAGAAAAAGTTGAAGAGTTTCATGTCACCCACTATACAGGGTGAGTCATGAGGAACTGTACATACTCGTACCACGAATAGAGGCCCCTGAGGGGAATACCCAATGTCTATTAGAAAGTGTCTTCTTCACTTCTTTTCCAATATATATATATATATAGGGTGAATTATGAGATTTGGCAAAAACATCTTCTGGTCATAATTTTCCAACAGCTTTTTCGATATGTCTGATTTTCCCATGGAATATTCTGCTACGACTCTCTAATTGACTGACTAATTCAGAATCGGGAAAATCCAGGACCGTTCTTGAAAAATTTTGATAGTTCAGTTTATGGCAAAAAGTTCATCCTGTATATCGTTCTTGTAAACTGTGACAGGGAATTTCAACGGTCACAAACAAACATCAAAAATAAAATATTCCAAATTTTCCGCACACTTTCACTGAAGTTTGAAAAATACTATGAATTTTATGAAAAAACGAGAATTTGGGCCAAAAATGCATTTATTTTGAAATTAATACTTCGCAACACATACATTTTACGAATAAAAGTGGGACTTACAATTCCAATGCTCCTGCTTCATGGAAATCAACACTTTATTTTATTTTCAGGCCTGGATTTACTAATTAATTTTTTTTGTGGAGGATAATGATCACCCTGTAGATCTTTTTCGAATCAGTGGATGGGGTATCTGTGAAAATGTTGATGGCCATCGCTGTTAATAATTTTGTGGTTTCTATTCACAGTTTTATCTATTCGATTTGTTTTATTCAGTTAATTTGTTTGTCAGGATATCTTTTGACAAATAATTGTGAATAAACCTTTATTTCTGTTCGCCTGTATTGAATTATTTGAATCGATGACCATTAACATTTGAATAGGTACCCTATCCACTGATTTGAAAAAGATCTACATGTTGATTTCCATTGGGCTAAAGCATTGAAAATGTGAGTCTTACTTTTATTTGTGAAACTTTCCTTTTTTCTTATAATTTATCGTTTTTTTTTAAATTCTGATAAAGTGTGAGGATAATTTTGAATATTTTATTTCTGATGCTCGTTTGTGACCTTTGAAAATTCCCTGTCACAGTTCACAAAAACCATGTACCTACAGGATGAACTTTTTGATAAGAACTAAACTATCGACATTTTTCAAAAACGGTCCTGGATTCTTCCAATTCTGGAAATGTCAGTCGATTGGGGTTCAGTAAAGAAATATTCCATGAAAAAATCAGACGATTCGAAGGAGCTGTTGAAAAGATATGCCCAAATGATGTTTTTGCCAAATCTCATAACTCACCCTATACATTGGTAAAGAAGAGAAGAAGACACTTTCTAATGGTCATTAGGTATTCCCCTCAAGGGCCACTATTCGTGGTAAGAGTATGTACAGTTCCTCATGACTCACCCTGTATATGAAGTTCAATGTTTCCATCTGTACTTGAAACCATCAACATCCCAAAATGAGTATTCCTAGAATTGTAACTGTTGGAATATCATCTCAATTTTTTTCTTTGTAAACATATTTGCCAGGATTGTTATTTCAGGTTAAGAAGACTGGCTCTTGGAGTGTTGCAGAGTGTCGCTACTAAATAGTTAGATAACAATCGAATATAGATCCTGATATCATATTCATAGTAAAGTTCTACTCTACCTATACGTACTACAAACTCGAATTCTATACCTTGAATATATTTCAACATGAAATTATCTTATTTCCTGTATAACTACGGAGACATTGATTGTTCGATGAAAAAATCGAGCTGTTATAATGATATCTAGAGTCTGTGAGATATTCCAACAAATATTTACTACGTGAAATTTATTCATTTTGTTGAACCAACAAAAATTATCAGCAGTCGCGTATATTTTTCAATCACCCGCTACCAATATTTAACTGTAATAGTAATTACAGACATTTCAACTATAGTATACTCACGTCATTACCTACCAATTATTCACTGCTATTGAACAAATAAATTTCAAAAAAGTATACAGGCTTGTGCCAAAAATTGAAAATATATAGAAAATAGAAATATTAATCACTCAATGGAACTGAAGGTATATCTAACTATTGAGAAAAACTAATTCATTGTTGTTTGCATAATACCTATATGTTGAATCTGAACTCATTAACTGAAATAACTGTTAAGGAGGGCGATAAAATGGTAATTGATTATTGATATTGAATATTCAATTAAATCTCCTCGTCTTATGATTATTAGGTTCATTTAAATTTTAAAGGCTCTTTGAAATCACAGGTTATTCGAGAATTAATTGAATATACACAATGCTTTTAACCACGTTACTAAATAGATTGAAGGAATTTCAACGATTTCTAAAAATTATTTCAAACCATTACGTATCTAGCGGTTTCATTATTTCATGTTATATCACTATAATGTATTGAAGGAGATATATGGAAATGCGATATGCTTAGAAGAAATACAAAGTAGAGATGATAGTTTTTGTCTTCTCTGTCACCTACTTAACAATAAAATTATGATTACCAGAATTAGCAATTTAAGACGGAAGACATATATAGTAAGCTTCCGAAAAAATATATAGAAAGCTTCTGCTTACATCGCTTGCATATTATATACTTCGAATGATAAATAAATATTTTTTTCTCTCTATAACGAATAACTTTATAATGTTTATTGTAAATAGAGTCGCATGTTGTCTATGGGAATAATGCGGATACCATCTTGATATTTATTTATGTTATTATGATTTATTTGACCTCTTTAAGGTCTAATACAGTGTTAATAGATCTCAATGATAATAAAGAAATCAGTGAGACATCTTTCGGAGGTATACCTATACGATTTTTTTTTGTGTATGCCTAGGTACCTATTATTGATTTTCAGTGGATGAATCATCCATTAGAAAATTATTGTAAATAGGTATACTGGTATATCAATGCTATATGAAATTGTGTACGCCTTTTGAATTTTGTTATTTGTATTCAATGTTGATCTTCGATATTCTGTATGTTTTCCCTGCTACCTGTTTTGTCATAACAAACATTTTTTTTATGTCCTGTTATCTTCGGAAGTGGCTATCAATGTAACATCACAAGGTGAGTTTTTGTCCACGTAAGTAAAAAAGAGAGAAAAGCTTTCTTATAATAATAATAATATTTCTTCGACTCCATACACGGCGCGTGCTAAATAATCAACTAAAATAGTTTTCATGTTTAGTGTTTGCTGATCTCTGTGTCCATTTTGTCTGGAATACTAACATGTAAAGTATATCCAATATCAATTGCAGAATATCTCGCACTTTGCGGCGTCGGCGTGTATGAAGATTCCTTTGAAGTGACTACAGGTGCGGCACGAGAATCTGCAATTGTTTTTGGATAAACATTACCTCGCAGTTCAATGAATTCTACTATGTATATATCATCCTAATGTAGTTACTTTTTTACTTTATAAGACGTTCTGTAAAAATATTCAGCATACCTAATCATCATCGTCTAAAATTCATTGACCAGAAAGCCAGAACTAAAATATCTCGGGAAGTGTTCATCAGATATTTTTTCTTAATAAAAATAGTCTTCAGTTACTTAATATGACATGTGAACCAATTGCCAATGCTACTGTGTGAATTTTTATGATTTATAAAGATTTTATGGCATATAGGTAGGTATAGAGGATAAATAAATCAAGAGTTCTAGGCATAGATTTCTTTAATGCACTACCAGATACCATATCATCCTTACCCATAGGAAAATTTAAATCAAGAATAAAACAACTTTTAATTAACATGTGTTTATATAATAGTGAGGATTTCTACACAAGCATTAGTACATTAGGATAAGGTTGACTCACCTTTAGGTTTGTCTAATTCGCTTTGCTCCTTCTGTTCCAAAGTTAATTTTATATAATAATTGCTGTCAGTTTGTTTTAAAGTAAGTTTTATATAATTGCTGTCAGTGCTGTCTACATATACTTTTAACCCGTATTTTCTGTATGTCTTGTTTTATCTACATTTTTTACCCACATGTTTTACTTGACGTTTCCAAATATGTAAATTTCACGGAAGAATAAATCTATCTATCTATCTATCTATCTATCTATACTACTGAACTTCAACGCTCTGTATACTTGAATGTCTTCAAAATTTTTTGGGAATCTATTACCCACTCAATTGTTATAAACAAAAATTAATTACTCTGATTCAGAAGTCCCCGTCAAAATAAAGAAGTTAATAGTAGTGTAGTTATTATACAGGGTGTATCTAAATAATCCAAAAAAATTCAAGGGGTGCTTCCCAATATATAGTTCGTATAAACATGTGTACTAACTTGCTCCATTTTTGAGATAGAGGATGCTGAAGTTGAAACTATAGATTTTTTTATTTATAACCCACTTGTATAAGCTTTCATGGTGCCAAAATTGGATGGATGGAGATTGAGAAAGCCCCACAATTTCAGAATGATTCTAATTTGGGTTATTGAGTAATCTCAATGGAAGTCTTGAAAACACCTACATTAAAAAGGAATATTCTCAGATATATTTATGAACACAAAAAAATGGATGTATATATAAAGAAATACATTGAGAATTCGCATTCTCCATGTGATGAAAATATTAATTCTTTCTCGGTTTATTCAACAGAAAACAACTAATTTCCTGGCTATATGCCACGACGAATATTGAATTACATCTATTGAACACACACGATAAGAATTTGAAAACAAAATCTTCTGAAGTAGAGAATTTGCATTCTCCTTCATATAAAGATATGCATATGATATAATTCTGAATATTCAACAGAAAACAACTACTTTCCTGGTTATTTGCCACGTCGAACATTGAATATCCAAAAAGAGAGAGAAAAATCAAAATCCTCTGAAATTGAGAATTGGCATTATCTCTCAAATCGAATAGAATAATATGATGGAAACTTATTTATATAGACCTCAACCGCAGATTCGTGATTAGGTTTTCTCAATTCAGAATTTCTTTCCACGTCCTGTATGATGAATGTCAATTTATCATACATCCAAAACCCTACATTGAAATTTGAAGTCAAATCAATTTTTTTTTCTGTGATGGGAAAAAAGTTTGGCATTTCATCTCTGTTGGCAGGTTATAAAATGTCACTTTTCATAAATTACTCTTTTCCCGTGGAAAAAAAGTGAGTTTTTTTTCCCGGATATATATCACATATATATACACTGTTGATGGCTTTTGTTGTGCTATAGTTCCGAAAAATGAGTCAATAATACCGTCTCCGAGAAAGAACTGCAAGTCCTTTTATCTTCCATTCGACGTCGCGGTTACGTATATCACTAAACAACCACTAAATTCGCAATTTTGTGAAATCAAATCACAGAATTAGACTGACAGAAGTGACATCAGATATTTGATTACTTCAAAAGAATGATAAAGATGCCTACAACGCAGGTGTCCCTACTGTTAAAAACTTAAAATTTCACGTCGATAATTTTCAGATTTCAAAATAATGTAATATCTTCTCAATATTGATTGATCTTTTCTTCTGTCACAGAAAAAAATAGTATATTATACACGGGAAAATATTAGATTTTAGCTCACGGTTTTTTGTCACTTTGACAACACAACCTGGAGCTACAATCTACTACTTTTTTCCCTTGTATAATAAATAACTATTATTGTTTCCTCAAAAACTAATTGAGCTAGATACAAAAATCACACAGAGAATAAAAAAATGAAACACAGAAAAACCGGAGGTGTACAACGACATTTACCATGAATATACATAAATTTACCCACTGTGACGTCACTGGAAATGTTATTTCGAATCAAATTGCACTAGAAGAAGCTCCATATTACTATTAACAAAACCATAACGTTTTAATGAAATTGATGAAAAGACAATTCAGAAGTGAACAGAATATATATATTTTTCATGGAAATATCGATACCCTGTATCTCGAAAACGAAGCAAGTTAGGACTTAGGACACATGTTCATATGAACTTAATTTTCTAAAATATCACAAGGAATCACCCCTTGAATGTTTTCAGTGTTATTTAGATATCCCATTTTAGAATCAAACATGACATGTACAGTCGTATTCAATAAAAAAGCGTACAAGTATTGAACACAGAAGATTTCGGCATTCTAGTTCTCGTTGTGTAAAATTGGCTCGGCCAATGCTTTGTGTTTTTGGGAACCTATGATTACTTTACTGTCAACATTTGGTAAACATTCATTCCCGATAGCCCGTTTTACGCAAATAGGATGAAGTTAATTTCTCCCTTCAATATACTTGTACGCTTTTTTTTGAATACGACTGTAACTATCCTATAGGTAAATCTGAAAAAAACTCTGATGACCAGCTCCTGAGATGAGACTTTCGCCTAACACTCTACTTTATTGTTCCTCAATAATTTTTCAGATCAACCAAACACTCTGTCGGACTCTACCAACGCAGGAGGGACTTAAAAAAAATTCTTTGGTACACCCTGTATGGTTGGGGAATGCCTACCGCCCTGAGTCTGATAATCTACGGATTCAGCCAATCGATAATTCTACCATACGCGATTCATCCATACGTGGGGTCTACATCATGTTTCATTGAATCAAGTAAGCATATGTACAGGGTGTCCCACTCAAATGTGTCACTCCTCTTTATATCAACATATTATTTTGGTTATTCAAAAAACTTTTCTGGAAGAATGTTTTACGAAATTTTTGAATCTGTGCTCACTTTTTCTTTGTATCAACAAAATACAGGGAGGCCCCGAAGCTCGTCAATCTGAATTCAAAAATAAAGAAGAAATAAGTACAGATTCGAGAAACTCTTGGAGAAATATTCCAGAAGAGTTTTTGAATGATCAAAATACGTTGAGAATTACGATGATAAAGGCGAGGTGACACATGTAAGTGGGACACCCTGATGTACATTCATAAGGGCGGTTGTAAGGAAATGTGAGGGGAGCGATTACTCTTCCCCAGACACAAAAAAACATGCCAAAAAGTCAGAATAAACCATGTGAATAAAAAACTTGTATCAGTTGTATCTCGAAAAAGCAGCTCCAAAACATACAAGTTCACATGAACTTTTTATATTTACGAGTTCTACTAATCGCTCAAAATATCCTCCAGACTACAATATGAAATATTCAGAATATTAACAAATGAAGGCTATAGTACACAGTCTTTATTACGTGAGCAAATTCTCAAACGTTTTCAACTACAAGCCATCATCAGGAGTAATTTCTGAAAGTGAGTGAAGATTAGAAAATCTGAATTTCAATAAAGTTCTACTCATTTTTCAGAAAGTTTTTACAAAAGATGATAGCACAAAAAGAACATTCCTATGTGCTGGAAAATTCAAGTTTGCATAAAAACCAATTACATTGTTTAAAATTAAATAAAATAAAATAAAAAAAAAGCAATTATACATGTGCTCTTACATTTTCAGCGGGACGACTGAATGAATGAGGTTAAAGTTAAAATAGGCATATGACATCTTGTGCCTATGAATCTACTATTTTGATTTCATAACCCAGTCAGCACATCCTTTCGTTGTCAACCTCGAAAGATGTCGAACAGCACTTTATCAAAACTCCTTCATCCATAGAACGGCTAGGCTCTGGAATTCATTGCCTGAGGAAGTATTCCCAACAACATATAATCTCCAGAAGTTCTAAACGTCCCTAGCCTCCCTAGGAACGCACGATGTTCTTTGAACATTATAGGGATTTCCTTTCGTGCGCTCCAAGCGATAAAAAAACAAAAAACTATAAACAACATTTTTTTCAACATCGAATCTTCCTTTGCTCAGAGGAACTGAAACTACTCTATGTACCAGAAAATTTCAACTTAGTTTTCAATGTCGATAATCATTTGTTCTAGGAAAAGGTAACTATGCAGCAACTCTGTTCCTGCGTTTTCCCCATTGTTTGATTCAAATCGTCAACACCGTACTATTCTTCAAGACCATTCTCTACTGCATGAAGATCAAAAACGAAATCAACAGAATCAATGACACAACAAAGTATGAGAAGAAGCACAGGTTCAAGAAAGACAAAGAAAGGTAGATATACAAGGAAAACCAACAACCTTATTTTATTCGAAACCTTATTATATACGTAAATTAACTGAAAAATAATATTTTCGTTGGGTGACAATTTTGTCAGTACAAATTGGCAATTGTCTAATCAAAGAGGCGAGAGGACTAACTTTATTTCGGTTGTGTCCACAGCCATCTAAATGTTATTGGCAATTTTGATTCAATGCTAAATAAATAAAAAATGGCTTGAGGAAACATTAGCAAACTATAAACATATATTTGTGAACAGAAGAAAATTAATTTTCACTAGAGTTGAAAATACACAGGGTGTTGCATGTGAGCAAACTGAGTTGGACAATTTTTTATCATTTTGCGATTCGGATCTATTCGTTTGAACGGTTTGAGGACTGCCAAAGGATCCCCCAATTTTTATATTTGAAGTTTTTTCCACCTCCTACGTGGTATGATCCACTGTGTAAGGAATATTCTCAGATAAATTATGAACATGAAAAAATTGATATATATATATATATATATAGGTGTAAACGGTATATTGTTGAGCCCGTCATATGAACGGGGCGCTCTTGAGCCCACCCTTTCCTGTGTAGTTAGAAGAGTATATGTCAGGATAATTATATCTCCTCATCTTTGTCTCTCATGGGACACTTAGAGGGGAAATGATTTCAAACATTTAAATATTTTTATATGTTTTTCGCACGTTGTTGAGCCATTTATAATTTCACTACGTAGTGGAGCCCAATTATATACGAATTTATATGAACCGTTCCTAGTGTGTCCCGACAGTGTTGCCATGTTTTGTAGATATTAATACATATGAGTATTATATAAACCGTACTCTAATGAGCCTCAGAGGTAAAATCATGGTCGCAATGATGGGACAGGAATTGCGAAGATGCAAACACGTGAGTTGAACAATTACATCGAATTATTCACAGCCAACAATCCTTACCTACAATTTTCGTTTGTTTTGTAAGTGTCTCAATATTCAAAAGGTATAGAGAAGATTCGAGACTGATTTATGTGATATTCGTCGAGAAATTTACGTTAATACTGATGTAAAAGGATAACAGTGGTAGGCAGACGATGTGGAAGATAATAATTCAATAATAATTATCGTAGTAATAATGCAATGGCTATTTGGCTTCAGAAAATCCTCGAGGAAACCAAGGAGAAAAAAGAACATAAAAATTGAAAAATAGTTCTGCCAACTCAAACCATATAGTGGGGCCGTTGATAATTTGATTTTCTGATGAGTTAGGTGTTGATGAGTTGGATAAGTTTTGTCAGTTGATGAATTGAGAGAGTTGAGGTCGATGATGACGTAGATCGTTGATGAACTGGGTCTTTCATGAGTTGAGTCGTTGATGAGTTTGGTCATTGATGAGTTGACCGTTGATGAGTTTTGTCGGTTGATGAATGAGGTGAATCGTTCATGAAACGGGTCGTTGACAAGTTGGGTCGTTGATAAGTAGAGTCCTTATTTCGAAAGAGCGAGATGAGTTGAGTCATTGATGAGTTAACCGTTGATAAAATGAGTCGTTGATGAGCTAGATCGTTGATGATTTGACTCGTTGATGAGTTGACCGTAAATAAATTGAAACATTGATGGATTGGATTGTTGTTGAGTTGGGTCGTTAATGAGTTGACCGTTGATGCTTTGAGTCGGCGATCAGTTGACCGTTGATCAAATGAGTCGTTGATGAGTAAGGTCTTTGATGATTTGACTCGTTGATGAGTTGATCTTTAATGAATTGAAACGTAGATGAATTGGATTGTTATTGAGATGGGTCATTGAGTGGTTGACTTTTCATGCGTTGAGTCGTTGTTGAATCGAATCGTTGATTAGTAGGGTCAATGATGCTCTGACTCGTTGATGAGTTGAACGTCGATAAAATGAGTAATTAACGAGTTAGGTCATTGATTATTCGACTGTTTGATGAGCTAGCCTTTTATTGAGTTGATCGTTGAACAGTTTAGATGAGTTCATCAGGAGGATCGTTATCAGTTGATGAGTTGGGTGTTGATGAGTTGGGTCGGTTGATTGATAGGTCATTGATAAAGTGGATCGTCGATGAGTTGTGTTGTTGATGAATTGGCCGTTGATGAGTTGAGTCTTTGATAATGTGTTGATCGTCAAGTCGTTGATGAATTGAATCATTGATGAGTTATATTGTTGATTAGTTGGGTGGTTAGTGAATTGCGTTATTGATGAAATATGTCATCGATGATTTGAATTGTTGACGATTCCTTTGTGGATCATTTCAGTCGATGATGAGTTGAATCGTTAATGGGTTGACCGTTGATGACTGGGATAGATGAGTTGTATTGTTGATGTGTTGACCGTTTTTGAGTTGTATAGTTGATCGCTCGACCGTTGATGAGTTGTGTCATTGATGAATTGGATCGTAGATGAGTCGGGTCGTTGATGAGTTGGGTCATTGATTATTTGAGTCGTAGAAGATTTGACTCGTTGATGAGATTAGCCGTTGATGAGAAGACCCGTTGATTAGTTGAGTTGTTAATGATTTCGCTCGTTCTTGGGTTCGGTCGTTCATGAGGTAGATTGTTCGTGGAACATGTTGCTAATGAGTAGACTCGTTGAGTGTTGATGAGTAGATCCATCCATGAGTTAGGTTGGTTGATATGCAGGATCGTTGATGAGGTGAAACGTTAATAAGTTGGGCCATTGATGAGTTCACGTTGGTGAATCGATTCGTTGATATGTGATGATGGTTCATAAATTAGGTTGATGAATTGGATCATTGATATGTTTGGTCGTTAATGAGCGAACGTTGATGAGTTGGGTCATTGATGGGTTGGTTAGTTGATGACTCGACGATGAACTGAATCATTTATGAGTTGACCGTTGCAGTGTTGAGTCATTGATAAGTTGGGACGCTGATGATTCGATACGTTGCCCTGGCAACCATATATGACTAATGAACATGTCACTGTGACGCCCCTAATTGGTGATTCTTCGTTAGAGACGTCACACCAGTTTTCGACATGCAAGTTTTATTGGAATTATATGTATCCAAGAAGTAAGCTATATATGTTTATATTCAAAATTTCAAATAGGTTTACCTATATTGAAACCGTCACTTCAATGACTTTGCAGTGACGTATCTATGACGTCTAAAAATCACGTCGGTGTGACGTACCAATTTGGTGAGCTCCGTTATTCAGAAATTTTTCAATACTTTGCTATTCAGATTTTTGTTGGGTGACAAATAATTTATGAATATAAATCGTTTTCATTGCTATTAAACTATTTTTGGTTTGCTTACATCTCGCCGACACAAACTACATAATTTGTTACACAAATTCGAGTAACTGATTTCATTCTGATGGTACTGAGGGATAGCGCTGCTGAATAGACGATTGAATGGACATGACACCGAAGGGACCACCAAGTAGACTCAACAATGCATAATCAATATTATATGTTATCAGAGATCAGTGGTGATTGTGTTATCACCAAATTTGAACGTCATTCTGACGTCATTTTGACGCCAGCATGACGTCACAGTTTGGTGAGTGAATGACGTCAATAAACGTAAGTAATATGACGTCATTGGGTTGTGACTGACGTGAAAAGAAGTCTCTGAAACGTCATCTGGTTGCCTGGATGGTGAGTTGTGTATTCATGAGTGGTTTCGTTGATGAGTTAGCTTGGTTGATCAGTTATTAGTTCATCGAGGAGGTGAATCGATTAATTGAGTCGTTGATGAGTTGATTGTTGATGAGTTGAGTCGTTAATGTGTTAATCGTTGATAAGTTAGGTAGTTGATGATTTGACTCGTTGATGAGATGGATTGTTAAGTAGGTGGGTGGTTAATGTGTTGATCGTTAATATGAGTTGGGTCGTTGATGAATCGGATCGTTGATGAGATGGGCCGTTGATTAGTTTGGTCCTCAACGATTCGACTCATTGATAAGTTGTGTCGTTGATGAGTTGTGTCGTGTATCGTTGATGAGGCGAGTATTGTTGATGAGTTGAGTCGTTGAAGATTTGACTCTTTGATTGGTATTTCGTTGATGAATCTGGCCGTTTACGACTTGGGTCATTAATCAGTAGTATTATTAATGAGTTGACCGTTGATTAGTTGGGTTGTTGATGAGTTTGTTTTTTGAGGAGTTAGGTTGGTTGAAAAGTTAGGTCGCTGATGAGGTGAATCGTTGATTAGTTGACCGTTGATGAGTCGAGTCGTTGATAGTTGATGAGCTTGGTCGTTGATGAATCGGATCGTTGATGAGTTGGAGAGTGCGCAAAAATCTTTGCCAGAAAACATGGAGTTGACATGTTCGGAAACATGGTAGCGAAATCACTGATTTTTATTTTGCATTCAGAGAGTTGCACAATCCATCTTCATCCATGGTCAAAATAGGAGAGCCACAGCTTTGGCTACAGATCCAATTATTATCATATTTAGATATACAACCTTTCCTTCTTCCGAGATCAAATTAATGATCTATGCATACTCATAATCTTATTCCGGAACGTTACTCAATATTTATTGAAACGATTTGCAAGTGAAAAAAAAGAAGATGAATTGAACTACTCACATTCGAAGGTACACTTCAATCATTCTAGGACTAGATTTGTCCCTTTTTAGCTATACCAACAGACAATGCTCTGCTATTCATGCACTGATAATCAAGCCAAGAATGAATCTGACTCTTTGTAGCATGAGGCATCGAATATTTGCCTGAAGCATCAAACTACCTGTATCATGATCTGATATGTATTCAATTCGCAGTGCTTATTGTAGGGAATAAGCTTATTGGAAAAAACTGCGGAATGAATTGAAAAAAAAACACAGAAACTCAAGTAATTCAACCCTGTCGAGTGTTTTAACAACTCAGGTATTACCTGATATGGAACTCGTCAACAAATAGAATTTTCTCCCTGCAATCATGAAACAGATTGATTATCCGCTCGAGATTTTTCATCGTTTTGTCAAATATCAAAACGAAATAGAGTTGTACAGGGTGAACAACTAAGAACGGCTGTCGGCCATATACAAGCAATGAATAATGATACAAGTTTGCTTACACGATGTAATAGAGAAACTGAATCGCAACAGACTAACGGAAACCGCAACATGATAGCTTTTTGCCAACGGAAGATATTAATTATCGAAATTGGAAGAATGATAGAAATGACAGCCGTTCTTAGTTGTTTATCGAGTACATAATGAACAGGACACTTTTCTTAAGACTCTCACGTGCTAGTATTACATTCTTATTTCACATCATCATCATGATGCAGAGGTCCCAGGACAAATTGTGTATCCTATAAATACCAACAATTGCGACGTTGCCAAATTTAGGGCTCAACAACGATACATTCATGTGTGGGCTCAACAACGTTTATACAAATCTAAAGTGTATATCCCTATATACAAAAAAGCGCCCTCTACAGGCCGATCCCCGAAGTTTTCGCTGTATGTCGGTTATATTATCGGTATATTGTGGAGCCCGACCAAAAATGCGGGAAATGGCTTTTCAAACAATTCTGACCACTCAGTGAAGAGATACAGGGCGATACGTTGTTGAGCCCGAAATCGGGCTCAACAACGTTTCTTCGGGCTCCACTACGTACCGTTCATATGCTAATCGGGCTCAACAATGACCGTTTAGTTATCTATATATATATATATATATATATATATATATAAAGAAATGAATTGAGAATTCGTATTCTCGATGTGATGAAAATATCAATTCTTTCTCGGTTAATTGAACAGAAAACAACTACTTTCCTGGCTATATGCCACGTCGAACATTGAATTATATCTGTTGAACATCCAAGAAGAGAGCATGAAAAATAAAAATCCTTCGAAATTGAGGATTGACAATCTCTCAAATCTGATAAATAATATGATGTATTTTGATATAGAAATTAAGCTCACAAATATGTTCATTATTGAAATGAAAATTGAAAAATGTATAGAAGAAGGATACTTGTATAAACTCTGATCTTGATGAGCTTGGAACTTCCAAGAAAATCATTCGTATCAGTGATATGGGAATTATATCTCTCACATCATGATATAGGTATACACAATTTTCATCTCTCTATAATATAACTAAAACCATAACGAAACTGACATCTGAGAATCATTGTTAACATTTAATCCCTGTCATCTGGTTTTTGTTTTTGGATGTATCACAAATTGTTATTCATGATTCATTGTACTTTTGCCAGGTTGTTTCTGATACTGAAGTTATCAGTGATAATGGGACTTGGTTTCATCTTCGACACCATCTCTGGATTTGTGGTAATGAGCGAACTAGGATCCGTACCAAAATACATCGAAATCGTGTGGGACTGCTTCAATTGCTTACAAGGTACTTAATTATGGTTCATACAGGGTGACAACTGGGCCACCCCTGTAACTTTTGAATCTCTTCGAAATTTTGAAATTTGGAGGGTTCATATAACATATCATATAATATATGCTTTTCGAGTTACCTGCGGTGTCGCCAGAAATGACCTCAACTTTTAATTATATTTATATTTTCACATCAATTTTAGAATCATGGGATCATTTTACAGACAGTTGTATAATTTTCGGGTCAATTTTTCATTTGATTTTTGGAATCGTATCTAGCGGGCTATTACTGCCATACTTTGTTTTTCAAAGCAAAAATTCAAATCAATACTATTCCACAACTATATTGCCTATAATCGGACTCTGACTGATCATAAATGATTTTTCTAGAATAGCCAGGTATTTTTTTCGAAGAATATTCTACAACTAATTAATTGATACCACATTTAATTTTGTCAATATCCGATTGATGATCGAAACACAAGATAGATAAAATCAAAATTAACTCTAATGTGTAATTGAATCAGTAAATGCAATATAAGATGATATTCGAACCCTCCAAATTTCATAATTCTATCTCAAGTGATTCATAAGCCATGCACCCGGTATATAGGACATCAAAATAAAAATTTGGCAAAAAAAAGATGATCATAATATATTGTTTTCCTAACCAGATGGTAAGCTATCATGTCATCATCAAAATGGTTACCATACTGTTATAATTACCATCAGCACATATACTGTTATCCTAATAAAATGATTCTTCATGCTATGTACCCCAGTTATGTTCTCTGATAGCTAGTTTTCTCTCAAACAAGTCTCTCTATGTAGTGATCGACGGAGTATCATCTGACTCTCTTATCATAAATACTGGTGTTCCGCAAGGCACTATTTCTACTCCATATCAACGATTTGTTGGATTGCAACTTCATGTCCAGTTCACAGCTTCGCGGATGATAGTACCCTCCATACCGCCTTCTCTTCCAGGGCTCCAATACCAGCCAGGCAAATCAGAAACGAACGAGGAAGAAATGTTGACAACATAAATATGGACTTGGCAACAATTCTCGAATGGGGATCCAATAACTTGGTATATTTCAATGCAAAAAAACACAAGCATGCCTTTTCTCTAGAAAAGCCGATCTCACTGTGCCCAACATAAGCTTGCCAGGAGTAACCATACCTTTGAAGACATCCATTTCGATGCTAGGTATCACTATCAGCAATAACCTTTCTTGGGAAAATCATGTGAGATCAATTGCTAAAAGTGCATCCCAAAAACCTGGTTTTCTGTTTCTGGCCAGGAGCTATTTCACTTCCAGTAGTTCCAGTCAGCTGCTTATGATCTATAAGGCACAGATTCGACCTGTCCTGGAATACTGTTCCCATATTTGGAGTGCAGCACCCAAACATACCCTGAAACTGTTGAATTCTGTCCAAAAAAGGGCAATTCGTCTCGTGGGTGATGCCTCGCTCACAAACTCACTCACTTCTCTGGAACACCGTAGAAAAGTTGGCGATCTGGCTCTACTTCATAGATATAATGCTCTTCTGAAATATCAACAATTGTTCCTCCCTTGGCAGTCCCCACGAGATTGGCCCGTCGAGTTGAGGCTTCGCACCCCTTCGTGGTCACTTTGGAGACCTGCAGAACATCTCTTTCCAAAGACTCGTTCATCCAACGAACGAGGCTCTGGAACACATTGCCAAGGGAGATGTTCCCCGAGGCATATGACCTCTAGGAATTCAAGAACACCAATTCCTACTTCATTTCCCTAGGTTCTCACGATGTTCTCTGAACATTACAGGATATCCCTTTTCGTGGGAACCAGAACATAAAAAAAACATCCAGCTGGTCCTTGTAATTTATTATGTTGTTCTACTTATGAACAATTGTTATTTATTTTAGTGATCTGTTAATAAAACTATTAATTATTAACATTAGCTTTATTACTCAAAAATCCATTTCAGCGGCCTTCGCCACACCCTAACAACCTAACAACATCACAATAACAAAAGCACCATCCCCGTCCATCGCACACTGCGCATGACATCTTTTATGTATGTCTAGTTGCATACCTAACATCTCCTTCTTTTTCTTTTTTATTATTACATTATAAATTCAACACATTCTTAAAACCTACGAATATCCGAAACCGAAATCATAAGTTTAACCTGGACGGAGCCTTTACTAATCTACCCTTACTAGTAACAATTGGGTTTTCATACTGTTCCTCCTCCCTATCTGTACTGTGTGTTTCTCTTTCAGATTCAGACTCTGTCTCTCTAATCTCACTGTCACTTATGTCTATTTCCACAGAATTATCTAAGTTGTTGCCTTGGTCACTTTCGCTATCACTCAACTCTAAATAACACTTTTTACCTACTCCTTTTTCCTTTTTCTCATAAAAAGATTTCAAAGCATTATTCCTATCTTCTACCTCTTTATCTATATTGCTATCTGGAGGAACAGTTTTTATATAAATCCTATTTCTAATGTACACAGGCCCATTATCAGTTTTAACTCTATATGACCTATCTCTAAGCTTTTCAAGAACTCTTCCTGGCAACCAAATGCCTTTTGGCTTTAACTGTATGACCACTTTACTATCAGGTAAAATCTCTGGCAATTCTTTTACGCCTGGTTTATTGTAACTTTTATACTGTGCCTGATGAGTTTTTTCCAAAAACTTAGAATACATTTGGTTATCTACTACAAAAGGTTTCAAGGTTTGCTCAGTTACAGGAATAGTTGTTCTTAAATTCCTTGACATCAACAAATTAGCTGGGGATAGGTTTTCCACAACCGACATATTTCTATAATAAAGTAAAGCTAAGTATATGTCTTTGTGTTCTTCTAGAACTTTTTTGAACATGTTTTTTGCTGTTTGGACATTTCTCTCAGCCATGCCATTTGATTTGGCATAGGTGGGAGAACTAATAATATGTGAAAATTCCCACTCTTTACTAAATGCTATGTACCCCAGTTATGTTCTCTGATAGCTAGTTTCCTCTCGAACATGCAAGTCTCTCTATGTAGTGATCGACGGAGTATCATCTGACTCTCTTATCATAAATACTGGTGTTCCGCAAGGCACTATTTCTACTCCATATCAACGATTTGTTGGATTGCAACTTCATGTCCAGTTCACAGCTTCGCGGATGATAGTACCCTCCATACCGCCTTCTCTTCCAGGGCTCCAATACACACATTTCTCTCAGCCATGCCATTTGATTTGGCATAGGTGGGAGAACTAATAATATGTGAAAATTCCCACTCTTTACTAAATGTTTTGAATACTTCTGACGTAAACTGAGGTCCACCATCTGAAATAACAACTCTAGGGATACCATGTCTAGCAAACATCGACTTCATGATTTGAACTATGGTTGCACTGTATGTGTCACCAGTTATTTTTTCAATCTCTATGTACTTGGAGTAGTAATCAATTAATATTAGATATTTTTCACCATACAGTTCAAACAGGTCACACCCTACTTTATTCCATGGCAATAATGGTATGTTATGACATATTAGTGGTTCTGGTGTTTGTGATTTAGCAAATTTTTGGCATGTGTAGCACGACTCTATCTTTTGTTTCACGTCATTTGACATTGTCGGCCAGAAAATTGAAGCTTTTGCCAAATCCAAACACTTTTTAACACCTAAATGATTATAATGAATTTTTGTTAGCATTTCTTTTTGCAAACACTCTGGAATTACCAAGCAGTTTCCTTTCAAAATTAAATTTTCATGTAAAGTTAACTCATCTCTAATTTTAAAATAGGGTTTGACACAATCTTTAACTTTTTTAATTGAATTTGGCCACCCTATTAAAATTACGTTTCTTAACTCTTGTAAGGTTGTATCATTTAATGTTTTTTGTTTAATTTCATTTAGCTTAGCATCTGTTACATTTATTTCAGAAACTACTAGGCATACCTGAGCCTGTAACTCATTGTCAAATGTATCTTCACTTCTATCCTGAATATATGCTCTTGACAAAGCATCTGCAATAACTATTTTTTTACCTGACTTATAATACACCTCTATATCATACTTTTGTACTTGTAACAACATACGTTGAAGCCTAGGGGGACATTTATTTAATGGCTTCTTAAAAATCGTAATTAATGGCTGGTGATCCGTTTCTACTTTTACTCTTTTGCCAAAAATATATTCATGAAACCTATTTAAACCAAAACAGATAGCTGCCATTTCTTTTTCTATCTGCGCATACCTTTCTTGAGCATCAGTCAAGGCTTTTGAGGCAAATGCACATGGTAAGTTATTTTGAAGCAAAACTGCCCCCACTCCAGACTTTGAACTGTCTACTGAAATTATAGTCTCTTTATTAACGTCATAGAATTGCAGAACAGGACTTGTAGTTAAAATTGTTTTCAAATTATCAAAAGCTTTTTGTTGAGTTGATCCCCACGAGAATAAAACATCTTTTTTTAGCAATGCTCTCAATGGCTCTGAATTACTTGAAAAGTTTGGAATAAATTTGCTGACATACGTAAGCATTCCCAATGCTCGTTGGACATCTTCTTTACATTTTGGAGTTGTCAACTCTTTAATAGCTCGTAATTTTGACTCATCTAGTGATACTCCACTAGCTGAAATTTGGTGTCCCATGTACTTTATGCTGGACTTTCCAAAATGACATTTTCCTAGATTAAATTTTATATTATTTACTTTTGCTGTCTCCAAAACTTTTTGTAACCTAAGGTCATGTTCTTTTTTGTCTTTTCCATAGATTACTAAATCATCAATGTATAGTCCTGTACCTTCACAACCTTGAAATATTTCCCTAAACTTATGCTGAAATACCTCAGGTGCTGATTTTATACCATATGGTAGCCTCAAAAACTTGTACCTGCCGAATGGAGTGCCAAAAACACATAGATTTGCACTTTCTTCATCAATAGCTATTTGATAAAAGCCACAGGTGGCATCCAATGTAGAAAAAATTTTTGCACCCACCATCTTGGCGGTAATTTCTTCTAATGTGGGTATTATA